CCCCCCCCCCCCCCCCCCCCCCCCCCCCCCAAAAAAAATTCCCAATTATCTTCAATTTCAATTTAGAGAAGAAGAAAAATATGTTGTGCGTTATGGAATTCTCTGGGTTTTTCTCCAACAATGACGGTGATTGTATTCTCTTCTTCTTTGTTCATGGATTGATGGGAGAGAATAGTTGACTTGTGGGCTTCCAACATAGCCAATGAAACCTACAGTAGTAGCACCTGAAGGCACTAGTGAAGCAGCCAAACTTCTAAAAGTTTATTAAATATTTTCATCAAATTTATTGATTTAATTTTAAAAAAACTCCAGAACTTAATTGAAAAAAAAAATGAAGAAAAGAACCTACTACTAGAGGGATGAGACTTGCTTCTTGTAGCTTCTCCCCTTGATTTGAATTTATGAATTTATCTCGATTGATTTTAAACCAGATGATTTGCATATGTTTTGCTCTTTGACTTTGAATTATCAGCCGTTGCGATTTCCGGCACGAAGGATAGCAACGAGAAAGGATGATCGTTTCCAGATTGAAATAATATGATTCCAATTTTAATTTGAAGAAGGTGCCCTTGATTTGTGATTTTGGGGAGAAATTGATTACTGATTGGAAGAAGGAAAAATGAGGTGGGTTGGATTTATTTTTTTATAAATTAAGGCAAAAACATGTTTTTTGAAATACAGGCGGGACGCTTTTTTTGATGATTCAGAGGTCAAAGCTGATTTGGCGTGATTTTACTTGGCGTTAGTTACCACGTCAACTTTCTGTCTACCAAGTCGACAAAAGTGGTAACAAAATTTTCAAGCGTGCTACACAGACGAGCTCAACTTCCAGACTATTTCCAAGCCTATAGCTACATGGCAATGAAAACCCAAAAAAAAAAAAAGAAGGATTGCATTTTTGAGACCTAATGTGCTGCTGCCTTTTTCCCCCAATCTACCCCTATCACCAACAGAACACATCTCACCTAAAGGAACTCGCACATACCTGTTCCCATAGCTCACCTTCTCAAGCTGCACGTAAATCGAAGGTACCACCGCTCCTCCCACAGGACTCCATCTACTATTCCGCCTCTCGATAATTTAGATATCTAGTCGTACGTTACCCGAAAATTTGACCTCCACTTCGACTGGTCTTCAGTCTAAGGTTTCTCCGCCTCACGGTCACCAGCTCCGGCTTGTAGCTAAATCAGCACTAGATTTCTCTCACTCATGTCAATTTTCAATTTTATGCTTTCCAAAGGTAAAATCGAAACTTGCCCCTATTTCACAAGTTTCTGAATAAAATTTGTTAAATTTTTGTTGAATTCGATTAATATTATAATAGATTCCCAATCCTAATCCCATTCCACAATCCACACTATGGGTCAGGGAGGCACTCGCTCCTCCGCAAAGGACAACTAAGGCCAATGGTCCTCATTATTGTGTATAACTCCTGGGTACGCCGATTGTTTCGATGTGTAGTAGAGAGTCTTCATGATTCAACCTTTGCCCTCCTGCTCGAATGGCGGTAAGCTACTACATTCCCCTTCTACGCTCCGTGCCTAATTCTCTAAAAGACGAAATTACCAGCCAGAGTGAATCCTAGTCAGTATCTACTAGTGTCGTAGCAGTTGGAAGTCTAATGGCCTGCTTGCTGATTGGGTTGGATGTCCCGATGACTTATGCAGCACTAGTGAGTACAATGTCCATATGGGTTCTAATCTTGTCTCCTGGAGCTTAAGGAAACAAACGACCGTTTCGAAGTCTTGGTCTATGAAGATGCGTTGTTAGGAGCTCCATTTTCTTTTTCCATTGAGCCAGGTCGAAGACCAAGAAGTGAGTTATTTATATCAAGCATTCTTCTTACGGTTAGATCCAATCTCCTAGTCCCAACGATGATCAAACAATGCTGGTCGAGGAAAATCCCGCTCAGGAGCATCACCAGGACCCAAACATCTACTTCTACTCCTCTACTAGAGGGAAAGGAGTAGTAGAAGTGGCTAGATATTTGAAATTATATAAAATTAAATATTGTTGGTATATCACTATATATTGATAAGTATTTTTAATGTAAACCTCAATAAATTAATTTATGCTTCATTAGAGATATCTTCAATCTACTCTTAAAGCAGAGTCCTCACTAGCCAGTAGTCGCCACACAACATTTTAGTCACCTCTGTAAGTTGAAAAAAGCCTTAGAATTGAAGCATGCTTCTCTGCATTTCCAAGGTTTTTGTCTTCCTTTCTTCT